TATTCGGTGATGTGTTGGGTAGAAAAACATCTGATGGTAATGTTTTCTTGAATTCATCAATAAATGCCGGTGGCAATCCACATGACGGTGGCACATGGGATTCACAGTCTAGAATATGCATATACAAACCGTAAATTAGATAATTATAATTTTAAACAAATTCTATAGAATAAATTTAACATAATCAACATAATCAATGCAATGAAATTTACCTCTGTGACATCGATATTTACACTCTTTGCATTTCAGTCCGAAAAACATTGGTTTATTGCACAAATCGCACGTATACATGACATTAAATTTCTTGGCAAAACGATGTGCAATTGTATGTCCCATGCCACGATTGATGATTGGTGTGCATGGTGATCGTGGCACGGTTAAACTATTATCGGCAATGTCATTGAAATGCTCGGGGTTTGGTTCGGTGTGCAGTCTCGCTCTAGGCGTTGGTAAATTTGTAGCCGGATTTACCGCGTTCATATGAAATGAGGTACTTGTGGCTACCGAATAATCAAAATTTTCGAGTACATTCATCGTATTTGATGGATGATTTATTGTGGTAACCGGAACACTATTTGTGCTCGTAATACTGGTACGATTTGCATCGTGTCCATTGTTCCATTGTGATTCTTGTGATCTGGATTTTGGAATTGAATTTTGATCGACAACATTATTCGTTGCATTCGATTGTGGGCTGGTCGTAACTATGGGCGGTGTAAACTGCTGTTGATACGAATAGTGATGATACGAATTACTATTTTGTTGTGTTGAATAATTCATTGTCATAACAACGGCTTGATGCCTTTTACGTGCTGGTGGTGTACTATTTCGTTTACCACCACCACTACCACTTTTCGATATTAATGCATAGCTTGGCGAATTTGGAGGCGATGGTGATGGTGTTAATGTACTGGCACTAGTATCTTCAGGCGAAATTAAATAATGATGCCTCTCAACAACGGTGTCAAGTGTTTGGCTCTTATCGCGTATTGTAATGTCAACCGTTTGTATATTATTCTCGACGGCCGTTGTATTCACCATTCGATTGTATTGTTGATGTTGTTGGTAACGTGATGTTAATCGATGTGAACGTGGTGATGCACTTGCCGATACATGCTGTGTACTTTGTCGATCCCATGAATCCCAAAATAATTCAATCGGTTCATTTGTACCCACTGTGATTGCCTCATGACAACGTTTTAAATTAAATATCGCACTCATAAATCGACGCACCTCTTCTTCTCTAATATTTACATTGTGATTTAACATTCCACGAAGTTCACCATCGTTTTTATCCAGCAAAATCTCTAATGTATTTACACGTTGCATCACAACATTTAATGATTCTTGACTCAGCCCTGCAAAAAAAAAATTATCAAAGCCAAATATTTAAACGATTGCATTTAAAATAAAAATTACTATCAATGCAAATAAATGTAGACATACCAACAACACGTAGCCATTGTTTCAGTTCAGCTCCGGTCGATGTGATTGCTTTGGGCAATTTTGCCTTGGTAATCAATAGTTCGGAGAACATTTTCACAAGCTTCGTTTCCAGCGTACGGATTTCTTGTTGGGTTAACTCGGCACTGGTTGCACATTGTGTTCGCAAGGCTTCGAGTCGATCTGCTGATATGTCAATCATGCTAAGTATGACCTCTATGTCGTACATTCGCGGCCCTTGTCGTATATTCGTCTCATGTTCAGCTGTCGATTGGTTTATATCATTTGCCATTCCATAAACAAATGCAAATCATGCACTTCGAAATAGAAACAATTTAAATGATTTTTATTTATTTTATGCAGCAACACACACACCACCATCAAGTTGCTGTAAAAACTTGTCGGAAATGAGTTTTCACTGAAAACTATTTCTTCAGCAATTTCTGCCTTATGGATTCCATCTTCGATGCTCTTTTCTATTGATTACATATGAAAAAAAAAATTGTCGATCCTGTCGACGATACGATTCACCAACAAATTTAAATTTAATTAAAGGTTAAACGCACTTTTCTGTTTAGGTTGTGCTTTTTTTTCTTCTTTCACTTCGTATCAATAGTGGTTAACAAGAGAAAAAAAAATTATATATATATTCTCTTTATGTTGGAACTACGCGCAACGAACACTATGCATATACACACATTCCATCTAATGCGCTGAAACAAAAACTTTCTTTACTCTCTTTGCTTCGATTTCCAATTTAAATTCGACGAAACCAAAGGATAATCGAGCAAATTGTATTTATCGCAATTTGACTAGAACATTATTGCTATAATTTTAATTTTATTTTTTCTCCCAATTTATTTTACAACAAAATTAGAAAAAAACCGAGAAAAAAATTCTCCCAGAAAAATCTAAGCTTTTGAATATTGTTTATTTGTTGGAAAATTCACACAGAACACTGACTGATGTCACTTTTCTTTTTTCCAATCATCGCCATATTTTTCTCGCTCTCATCAAGTTTTTCGTTGGGCTCTCATTGGCTCTCGCCTCTGCTATAAAAAAGTCTATGAAAATGACATTTCGCTCACTGCTTACACTCTCTCCTATCCATATAATACATTGAAGAAATGTGAGGTTATGTTCGACGAACAGAATGAAGACTGAATAGAATGTTTGAGAATGTTAGCTATTGAGAATATTTGAATTTCCCAAGAAAATCATATTAATTTTTTGCATGAATAGAATAGAATTTATGGAAATGCTTCGTTCAAGGACGATGGAATTTTTCACCTGAAATCATTTTCATTTGAATGCAATGAAATAAAAACACGATGCTTGTTTATTTTATTTTTTATCCAGAAATCAATGCAATTTTAATATAATTGCGAATTTTATTGATTGAATCTCATTACGCTCATTATACATTTTAATTCCATTGAATTTCAATCCCAAAAATTATTAATTAAATTCTCATTGAGAATCTATTGTTGTCCTTGGGTTTCTGGCAATGTACGGATAATGTCTGAATCTCCTGGATCGGTAATGGACATTGTGCAGACACGGAAGTATTTACCGCAAGCAGTACCCAATTCAATGTTGTTGCCGCTGTAGTGGTGAACTCCGGTCTTGGCCAACATAGCGTAGTATTCGATTTCAGATTTTCTGTGAGAGAAACAAAAAAACGAAAGTTTCAATTAAAAAACCATCAATAAACATGGAGCAAATGCATTGAACGTTAAAAAAAAAATTCAGAAAGAGTCTCTAGTAATTGTATCGTCACAAAACTCAGAAGTAGCAAATAGTTACTCATCATTCAAAATGAAAATTTGAAAAAAATTCACATAATTCTATAACTTACAACACAAAACAGTCGATTCAGCTTCCGAAACCATATGCAATCGATGTCCATTCAATCGAAATTCAGTTGGCGTGACTACTCCATAGGTTTTCTTATTTTTTGACAATATTCACATGCACCGAACGACCATGTGTCGTTGAAACAAACGAACGACAATCGATGGATTGTCATTTGTTTCACCGGTCTTTGTACGCATTTTTTTTCGGAATTATTGTCAAAATTTCTGAAAACATACTTCTCAGTCACAATTGTGTCGCGACTCCATATGGTTTCAAGAAAAAGTATCAACGAATATGCGTTTGCAAGAAAACTCTACTTCTTAATAGTCATTTTAATTTACCTTAGCGGTGGTGTGTTGTTGGCAATGATGATCAATTTAGCCTTGCCTTGACGCAATGTCTTCAAGGTTTGTTTGTATCCCAAGCAAAATTTGCCGGATTTCATGACCAAAGCCAAACGGGCATTGGTGGATTCCAAAGCCTTTTTCTGTTCATCGAAAATAAAAGAGAAAACAAAATAAAATATTAGTCACTGTGAAACTGTACATAACCTCACATTTTGATATGAAATTCAGACAACGTGGTTTTGTTCAACGATTGAAAAAAAAAATCCCAAAATTTCTTACCTGTTTCTTTTGGGCAACCATTTTGATGCTTTTAGAATTGACCTATTTGTAAATAAAATCAATAAATTTCAATCGATTAGTAAAATTAATTGTATAAAATGAGTAAAAAAATGTGTTTAATCGAAGACATGCTCAACACGCGTACCTTACTGCTCAAAGTCTGAAAGAAGAAGAACGTGAATAAGTGTTTGACACAATACCAATGCCCACCGCATTCGCTCTTTCAGTGTTTACCGATGCAATATTCTCTCATTGCCTCTCCAAATGCCTATTGTCAAATGTATTATGCTTCGTTCACGCTTTCAATTTTATAAACCTTTTTATTTGAAAATAGAAATAGAGACCTTGTCAAATAAACGTTCAACCAAAACGTAAATAGAATTTATTCTGCATTGCGATGGAAATAAAATATTTGAATTGACAACAAACAAGTAACAAAAAATATATTCATAAAAAACAATTTACGATATTTTTAGGATATTATTCCGAATTCGCTGCAGTGCAGTGCAGTGCAGTGCAAAACATATCATTGTCATTCCCTTTGACATAAATTATTCAGTTAGCAACTGACAAACGTTTAACACATGGTATCAAACTCGATTTTTAAGTTATTGAAAGAAGAAAATATTTAAAACCATCATCACATTATATATCTTATATTGAGTGGCACATTTTCTCATACTGAACGTACAGTGCATATCGAAAAACAAGAAATTGCGGAAAAATGAATCGAATGGTAATCTAATTGTGAATTTGTTAGCTTTAGAATAAAAGTAAGTCTTTATGCGAATTTTTTTTACAGCAACCAATTGAGGTAGTTTTTAACACATACAAAGAATATCGGAAGAGAGGTTGGATAGCTTGCCAAGGCGGTGGCATTTCCGTATTAGATGTGAAACAACAATTCAATTTTATTCCATCGGAAATAGTATGTGAATGGCCAAACATTGGTGACGTTGGACAGCTCGCCAAATCATCAGTGAATCGAAATGTTATTATTATTATTATTCTGCACCATACAGCGTTTCTTCGCCAGAGGTGGTGCAGAATAATAATAATAATAATAATGAAATGTGAATGAGTAAGTTTATTTGAGGTTATATTAACATTTAACTTGAAATTTTATTTGTTTCATGCTCTTATGTAAATTCATTCTAGTGTTTGTGCTGGTGTTTTTCCGTTGCCACCTGACATGGCACATGTCAAAGCCGTTGTTCATACTCATTCCGTTAAGGCTATAAAATATACCAGACGCGATGCTGCGGTACAGGCTCTTATGACATTGAACATATCCCGACTTACGAAGGTAAATTTTTTCTTTCGTAACACAGTTAGATGAAACATAAACATATTTTCATTTGATGAACAGGGCATTTGGAATCGAGCCAATTGCCGCGAGTACGAAGAAGGTGAGATCTGTACCATTCCGATCGGCACAGATCATGAACTCATCGATCGATTACATGACGCATTGAAAAGTAATCCAAGCAGTTGCAGCGTTCTGGTTCGAGATCATGGGCTGTTTGTTTTTGCTGATACTTGGCGAAAAGCTAAAAAAGAGTATGTTTCATATTATTTGATACCATAAAATTGAAATTCGATATTTAATTTCAATTCATTTCTTATCGCACACAGATGTGAGATCATCGAACAGCAATTCGAGCTGGAAGTCTAACCATTCAAGCAAACACGAACAGAACAAGCAAATTGTACAAATGTTTCAACTGATTCAAAGAGGGAAGAAAAACAACAATAAAAATTATAAAACAATCAGCTTGAGAATATAAATAAATCAAAATAAAAGCCAATAATTCGATTTCTTAAAACTGTGCATTTATCATTGCTTTTAACATGTTTTAGATGATACAAAAAGTTATTCACAAGCAACAGTTATAACGGTGAATTTTTTTTATTCAAATACATCAAACCAATCAATCATATGCTGTCTACATATAACGATTTCTATAACAAAATTATGCCAATTAAGCCACCCTTAACTCATAAAGAAAATGAGAATTATCATAATGTTCATACTTCAGTCTGTGATACTTATTTAATTGATTTTAACACGAGTACAAATACTGTTAAACAGAGAATTAATGAATATTTTAAAAGAAATAGATTATGGAGAGAATAACAAATTTTATGCAAATCAACCAATATAATATAATGTAAATATATAAAAG